GAAAGTTTCTATACAGTGAATGATTACATTGTCGGCTATCGCAATTATGAGTCGTTAAGGCAATACCCCGACCAAAACCTTGCGATAGTTAGTTTTTCTTCGTTATTCAGAGACTATTAACTCATTAGTTATGAGAAATAAACTACATCTAAAAGCACATTATTAATGTTCGATACCCTATCATCACATTCCACGTTCTAATTTGTTTATATGTGTTATAAATACATTTAAAATCTACTTTTAAAAAATGACTAAAATTATTGATTGCGTGCATCTGTTGCTAAAAGCAAAGATCTAATTATTTGAGGATTACACTAATGGATAGATAATTTAAAAATCTACCTATATTATTCACGTTTTGTTTAATTTCAAAAGATCGCTTTTATTTTTTAATTAAATTAATCCCAAAAATTGTGTGAATTCTATAACAAAGTAGCGTGCGCACGGTATGGACGGCAACGGCCATAGATAAATATATATGTAGCAAGCAACGACAACAGCCGCCAGTGCCACAGACAAAGTACTCTGTGGCCACAGAGTACTTTTTTACATAGCGCTGCATGCTTTCGTAGGAGGAAGTTGTATCCACAGAGTACTTTTTTAGTTGTATCGCTCTAATCGTACCTCCGTGTTTCGCCGCAAATATTTATAATATTATTATATGAGTACCTACTTACTTTACTTACAGCGTTGGAAATGTCTTCTTCTTCTTCTTTACTTTTTGGCTTCTCTTAAAAGAATTCTGCCAATGTCAAGTCAGTCATGGGAGTGACAACAAGTGCAAGAAACTGAGACTGGCGGAATGACTTATACGAATATATCTAACTCTTCACTACTGCATAATAAATAATTTTAAACAATTATTGTAGTATTTGTTTGAAAATTTCACATAATTAATTTATTTAATTTAGTAAATAGTTTAATAAACTCAATTTTATATTTTATTTAATAGATATCTTATCTAATAATAGATGGCTCCGTGGCGCAGTGACTTAGCAATTGAGTTGAAGCGCTAAGGGCCGCGGGTTCGAATCCCGCACGGAACAAGTATTTGTATGGCCTACAATTAATTGTTCCGGGTCTGGATGTTTGTCATTGTGCAATTTATTTTTGTAAGCTGCCCCCGCGATACAGTAGAAAAGTTACGTTTTCCTTTAAAAAAAGAATGAAAAAAAACATAATATGATATAGTTACCTAATAATATAACAAATGATTATATTATTTGACAAGCGATCCGCCCCATCTTTGTGCGGGTGATTTTTGGATCTCGAAAACAGTGCCACCTACCGGATCCAAATGTGAATCTAAACCGTCTAGGGACCCATTCAAACCCAAAATTTTCAATCGATATCGATATCGATACCCATCACGTCCGCGAAGTTTCACTAGCTAATTCAATTTGACCCTGTATAGGTACATACTTTAAAATAGTAAATGATAATAAAATTTACTTTGTTGTTTATATTTTACTTTCCTACTTTATCACTGTTTGAATAACAGGTAACTCACGATCAATCTAAAAAGTAAACGCCGTACAATGTTTATTATAGAGAACTATGAATACTTGTATTAGAATAAAAGATAAAAGTATTCTTGGACGTTATTAGTATAGTCACTGAATTCATGACCATAATTATTTACATGCACCAATTAACCTTAACGAAGTCGCTCCAACACCGACGCGCGCGGTCCATCCTCGACGATGTCCGAAAACGGAGTGCACAGTAGGCTTGGGCAAAAAATATCGATATTTTTAAATAAAAATATCGATATATATCGTCGACATTTTAAATCGCGATATTTCGACATATCGATATTTATTTTAGAGTATCGAATTCGTATCAATTTCAATATATTTTAAAATATTGTATCGTTTTTTTAGACCTTATCTTTACATCATTCAATGGATGACGATATATCGATATTTATCACACGATATATATCGATACTGTTTTAAAATATAGATTCGATATATATCGATATATTCTTTCCCTTTGCCCATCCCTACTGCACAGAGTACATTATATTGACGGACTGCGACAGAACTCGCGGGGGATTACAGGGCGACGGAGCAGGCACGCTTGTGTGAATATATTCAATTTTGGGGAAAAATTATATTTTCTCGAGGAAAACAGGGAATAAAAATAAAACTCTCAATTAAAATATTAATATTTTTAAGACTTTTTTTAGTGTAAAAACTATTTAAAGAGCTTGTGCCGTTTTGGAGAAATTTTCGTTGGGAATTTTTTTTTTCTAATAAGGGGCTGAGAATAATACAATTTTATTAATTTAAAGACATTTATAAAATCCTTTTCTGTCACCGTGTATTTTTTCTTTGCAGATTAAGTGAACAGACAACCGATGGGGAAAAAGGTTCTCGAGTGGCAGCCTCGTACCGGTAGGCGAAGTGTAGGGCATCCTCCCACTAGATGGAGTGACGACCTGGTAAGATATGCAGGAAGTCGATGGATGTAGGTGACTCAGGACCGTGCTTTGTGGCATTCCTTGGGGGAGGCCTATGTTCAGCAATGGACTTGTGAAGGGCTGTAATGATGATGATTGGTTGGCCCGTCGACTTCCGAGCGCGCCATTGGTTGATCAGTCGACCCATGACTCCCGCAACGTGTCCACGTCCCGTCGTACATGCGCAAACTTTCCCCCACTACGCCAAAACCTTGCCAAGTTAGTTGCTATATACTATAGTATATAGTATACGAATAAGGTACACCTTATTCGTAAACTTTATAATAATAATACGTAATTTACATTTTGCTAAAAGTACAAACCGACTTCAAGAGATAACAACTAGTGATAAATATTGTGAATTAATGTACGGGTATCCAGTCCGATTAAAAAGTTGAAATGAAAAAATTAATTTGACATTATCTATGAAACGCATGAAGAATCTATGGCGTGAAAACATTGTGGAAACATTTTTTGTGTAATTTCCGATTTCCGTGCTCTTCTATTAAAGAAACAAGACGAGCAGCCGGTGTTTTATTTTGGTGTCAAGATCCGACGGATTAAAGGGCCATTCCTATACCTTCATCGTAAAAACAAGGCCAATCAACCTACAGCTTCAAACGTCGAATGATAATTCCTACAACTAGAATTTTGTCCTAAATTTATATATATATATATATATATATATATATATATATATATATATATATATATATACATATATATATATATATATATATATATATAAATTTAGGACAAAATATATTTATATATATACATATATATATACCCTTTAACTATATACAAATACGCATTATTCAGGATTGCTCAAAAACTACTCGTCAGACCTTGATCAAAGATCAAAGAGAAGCACCTGCTTTCAAATAAAAGAAGAATGATCAAAATCGGTTGACCTAGAAAAAAGTTCTGAGCTAACATACAAAAAATACAGTCCAATTGAGAACCTCCTCCTTTTTTTAATCGGTTAAAACTACAAATAAAGTTGTACTACCCACATAAATATAACAAATGTGTGATAGGTTTTCATATGCCCAACCATACGGGGACTAGTGGAAGAAATAAAATCAGAAAAATGTATAATATGATCATTTATTATTTACAAGTTTCTTCTAATTTTAAACTATCAATAATTATCATTACAATAATATTTACAATTAATTACGATTTTAAAACAACATTTAATTTAAATTACAGAAATGTATAATATAATGATCAAGTTTTTAAAAATATATCACAATTTATAAAGAGGGTGTTTTTATTTGATTACATATGGCCGAAACCTCAAAAATGCTAGTCAATTTTAAGATGTCGTTAGTGTCGTGGTGTCACGGTCACTTTGACTTAAAGTGATAGAGACAGCACGAGACTTAACGGAATGTTAAAATTGGCAGCGTTTGAGCATTTGGACAATAGTCCTTATAGATCAACAAAGATAAAATACGATTACGTGTCCGACCAACAAACAAAGACAGACAGAACATTACGTTCTAAGTAAAGCACGTAAAGCCGTTGGTCCTGCGCCTGATCTCTCTCCAGTCGTGTCGAATTGCCGTCCCATCGGACTATGAGAGTGAGAGAATAGAGAGTGCACCTGTGCTTGCGTATACACTTGAGCACTATAATCTCCTCTAAATAGACTCCGTGTTAAGACAGGCCGCCGTGTACGAAATTCAGTTTGGAGCACATTACGTACTTCTACTATCTTTTTTGTTGGTCAGAGACATATAATTTATCGCTGGAACATCAATCGTCCTAAGGCTTTAAATGGAACACCTTGTAACAATACATTAGGGCTTAAGACCTACAGATCCAAAACTGCGTTGAAACATAATTTATACAGGTTACAATGAGATCATATTTCACAAAAAAAAAATATACAAATAAAAGTTTTGAGTCCGGATGTTTTCCTATCTTCAATTACATTATGTAAACACCTCAACAGTCTACGACACAAGAAATTTTATATTTACGTATTTTATGTTTATAGAGCAAGATCCTAGGCGTCACTAGACATCACTTATAATCTGTCGAACGAAATGTGTATGACTGAATAGTATTATGTACTATGATCGCATGCCTACCTGCTAGCTTGGCCAGTGGGCCATTTTCCTCCAGGCACAAGACAAAAATTAAAAAAAAATGTTTTTTATTTTTTATAAGTACCGTATATCATATCATAATCATATGAGTTTAATAAAAAGCTGTTATTTTAGATACTTCGTAACTTTACTTCGGATTTGCCTAAAAACGGTAACTGTTATAAATGATATAACATCTGCGTGGCATATTTAACCGCCTGCGCGATCCACAGCTGTGAATAGTTTTTATACTGAATTACCGGTTCAGTAGTATATACAGAAGTCTTTGGGTAAAGTTCGAATAATTTGTAAAGTACAATGATGTCAAAGTCAAATCATGATTCATTTTTAATCTACACAGTTGACAGTTGACAGATCGTTGGCGCCAAAACGCCATAGACAATATTATTTTTATTCTAACAAATGGATAGGGAGGTTCAGACGTCGGTGGGTGGGCGCCAGGTGACGGCGCGCATTTTCCTGTTGATCTCCTGTAAAATGAGTCGACAGCGCGCTATCTGCGCGGGCCGCAGCTGCGGCGTGGCGTCGCGCGTGCGCTCGCCCGCCGCCGGCGAGCGGGCGGCGCGACGTAGCGCACGCCGGCGACGTGCTCTGGCGGTCGCTAAGCAAGTCCAAATGTTACATGTCACAAATGTATTACATAAGAACCGCGTTATAAAATAAAATTATGTGTCTTAACTAGTTTGTAGAACACCTCCCGCCTTCCTTCAACGAGATCCACGACTTTTTTGCCACCAGGGCGGCGCCACTTAGACATGAGATAAAATACTTTACAGATCACATGGCAGGGAGAAGTTAGTACGAAAAATGTAAAGGCTAATGTCTCTTTTTGTACTATTGCTTATATTTTATATTAATTAGATTAAAAATAAATAAACCAAACTATATATACAGTGAAACTTGGTTAAGTGGGACCTGGGTAAGTGAGAAACCTCCATAGCTAGAACTCATACTTAAGTCCTGACACTTTAACACTGAATTACCTCTGTCAGTGGGACAAAACAAACCTCTATATCTGAGATTGGTTCTTCGATTTTATCGTCATAATTACCTCTATAATTGATCAGCAAGTGTGTTTTACCTCTTACGGAGACTATATTTTAGGGATTAGTGCTTTCGATTTTATTAGTCATAATTACCTCTATAATTGAGACAGCGAGTATATTTTACCTATTTTACTGAGACTATATTTTGTGTCCCGTTTTATTTAGTAATTCTTATTCTGCCCGCAAATTCCGCACTTGGCTAATTGTGTAAAAGTCATCTCCCAGTTTTAGTTTGTTTTGCTATCGTCAGAATGTTTATATATTATGTTTACAAAATACGTTATTTTATTTAATAATCGCACCCCTATAACTGAAATAACCTCTATTCTCACCTCTATTACTGGAACCCTCTGTAAATGAGACAGATATTTATTTATTCCTGAATATCTGGGACACTGGGTAAGTGGAATACCTCTTTAAGTGAGACAAATTTGCAGGTCCCTTAAGATCCTAGTTATCCTGATTTCACTGTATAACTAAAAGTAAAAAAAAAATATTTAAAAAAAGGAGGCATAAAGTACAAAAAATTAAAGATCTAATCACTGACACATTGTGTCCTGTATTAACATAACACTATAAAACCCGTTAAACTATTGTTTAAAACTAATTTTTCAATTGACATTGTGTAACAGAAAATTTCACCTCGGTCACAACTAGCGACATCTGGTGAGTGGAAGATTATTAGCTCTCATTGCGTGCGCTATCCTCGGTGTGCACTATCTCTACTACACCTGAGGATGCCTCGTTTACAGGCGAAACACGTGTCACATTATTGACGGTGGCGTGTCTTTCCTAGTGTAGTGGTGTTGGTAATAGTGCACGCAGTTGAGGGAGGGCGAGAGGTGTTCTTTAAACTATATAAGACACATCATTTTTATTTATTACACGTATCTCGGCTAATTAATTTCTAACATGTTTAATATAACGGATTTCCGCAAAGTAACGCCTGATTCTATTAATTAAGTGGAAATGTTTTAAGTCTGTCTCGTGTCTACATTGGTTTGCTATTAAGGTCATCTGCTCTAAATATCTGGTCTAAATACATAATAATGCCATGAACGTCAGTGCACACGTAAGAATCTTATCCATACAAAAATAATTTATGTTCTTAGTAATTAGTCCAGGGGTTCCCAAACCTTTAAGGTAATGGAACACTACATTCACCAAATCTGAATCTGCGTAACAAATAAGTTCACCTCAGTCCCAACTAGCGACATCTGGTGAGCGTGAGATTATTAGCCCTGATGATGATTTACACTTAGTAAATGCCTTATGGTGGCGGAGTAAGAGAGTTCATCATCCCATTTCGTCCCGTGGGTGTTGCAAAAGGCGACTATGGGATATGCTCAAAAGAACTGATAGCTTCCAAATGATGGTATACCACCATTTACTCACCACTTTCTCCCTTTTCCTTCTTTAAACCTCTATCAATGGCGTTGGACAAAGATCTCTTCTTTGGCGACTGAAAGTAAAAAAATGAATATCTGAATACATATAAATAAAACAAATAAAATATGTGTATCTGTGGTAGAGCCACACTGGAGCTATATTATGGTCGTAGCACTAATGAGTCGGCTCGACCGGGGAAGGGACCGGGACCACGCTCTCACAGAATAACAGCGTAAAATAGCAGCTTACTGATTTTTACCTGGCCCATTTTATTGGAAACGAGGCATTCCATCTCACTTCTCGGGGGTGACAACACATCTGCATTTTGATTCTTAATCTAGGATTAATGTAGGCCGCAGCATCCACTTACTAACAGGTGGACTGTGTATTTCTTTGTCTCCTTATTCTATAAAAAAAATCTATAAAAAATAACACAAGTGAAAATAACAAAAGTGTGTGGTGAGTGAGTGTATGATTTAGGCAGCCCTTAATGTTAACTTTCCATTTGGTGAGTAAACATTGTTTTTAGACTAGTAACTGTCACCCTTGAGAACTAAAAAGGAACGTGAAAATAATGGAAAAGATCTCCAGTTGCTGCTATATGGTACGGTAGTATTCAGTGAGTGTTTGGTGGAGCTCATCCACTAGTGCTGCAGACATAATGAAGCTCTCTAAAATACAGACAGCCACACATTCATTGTTAATTCGGAATCAGTAAGTGGTTCCAGAATTTTCCATCAATCAAGTACAATCCCTAAAACCTCTTCCGTTAATCAGTAGGGTGCACCATATGCATATGAAATTGCATTTGGCTAAAAGAGTGATATATTACCCCTTATTGCACCTTAAATTAACATGCAAAACAAGGAGCACTGAGTGATGATGATGCTGTTCATCATCATCATCATTACAGCACTTCACAACTCTACTGCTGAACATAGGTCTTCCACAAGTAATGCCATCTTCATACATCGACCTCCAACGTCTTTCTTATAATATCTCATCTACTCAAAAACTTTCCTTTCCCAGAGGTTGTTAGTTTTTAAGGTTCAGTATCCAAAGGGTAACCAATGTCACCCTATTACTAAGCCTCCGCTGTCTGTCTGTCAGTCCGTCTGTAAAATTGCCACAATAACAAATAATAAAAATAAATTAAAAATTAAGGAGGGCTCCCCTACTAGAAAGAAGCTTTTTTCTACCGACTTCAAAAGGAGACGGTACTCAATTCGAATGTATGTTCTTCTTATGTGTGTTACCTTATAACTTTTTACTGGGTGAACCGATTTCGATGATTCTGTTTTAATTTGAGAGCTGGTACTTCACATGTGGTGGTAACTTATATTGAAGTCGGTTGTACAAAATTTTTAATTTTAAATTATTCATACATAGTATGAAATCTTGTACAATGGTATGGAACCCTTCATGCGCGAATCCAACTCACACTTAGCCACTTTTTTAAGCTATATAGCCAGCTCATTGCCACTTTAAAACGTTAAGTTGGAGAGGTCTCGTCTTATGAAGTCAACGCTCCGTCCCCCTCGTGCTCTGTTCCAAAGTCCCGAAACCTTTCAGCTCGAGTTACAAAACAGTTTTCAGTGCCTAGAAGACTGCAATGAAGTGGACGATATGAATGACAAGCTCGTGAATACTGTCCATGCGGTCGGAGCTAAGTTCTGCAAGACCCGCCGCAGAAGAACACAAAAACTCTCCGATCACATCATTTTTATTTACAATTATATAATTATACAGCCCAACCAGATTAGAAAACTTTATAGATAACCCAGATAATAATAATAATCTTTATTGATAAACTGATGGTATGGTATATTGTAAGTGTGCATATAAATAAATAAATAAATAAATAAAGGCACTCCTTGGATGTATCAAAGAAATCTTACGATGCGGTAGAAGATTCTACGAGTACGTTATTATGAGGAGAAAAGTTTAAGAATACCTACAATTTGCGAGGTACTTTTTTTATTATAGATTCAATCCAACAGTTCCCAATGCTTATTGTTGCCTTTGCAGCACTAAGTTGCAGCTAAGTTTAGTGTCAGCTAAGTTACCTATTTGATAACACATTTTATTATTTTTTAGGCTTATTATTAATTAATAATGTGGATATGTTATTATTATATTATGCTTGTGTGCTTATATTCGAGTATATTATTGCCCATGGCGTGTCTATTTCTTTGTTTAAAATGTGTATATCAAATAAATACTACTTCCTTTCCTTCTCTCTATTATGTTTCGCGTTTGACACTGGCACTTGTCGAACAAGTTGCTCAGCTTCATCCGTGAGATGTCCTTTTAAATAGCGCATCTAAAGAATCGTTTTTGTGTGAACTAGCCACAAAAACAACAACAACATAAACACACATAAACTCAGAATACACTGGCGTAAAAACAAGTCTCTGAATGTTTTCTGCTCTGGACACTTACCGAAAATTGAGGTTGTGGAAATTCCAGGTGAATCAATTTGAAACTCTTTATCAGGATTATTCGAATTTTCATTGACGTTACTATCAGTATTATCATTTAAGCTCAACCTCGCTGTATCGCAATATAGTTCCACTAAAATATTGTGCAAGTTTCCATTATTAAACGCAGTCTACTTTAAAATTGTATCATTAATTACTCTGTACAATTCTTTCTAGTTTCTCTAAATTCCAACCACATTAAATCTAAAGTTTCTATTCAATTTTAATAGTGTACTGATTTTCTTGTCAATTGATTTTATTTAAATTGATTTGAGTTTTACCATCCGCTGTTCAATTCATCTTCTAATCCAATAAGGTTCTTCACATAAATGAAAATAAGTCAACTTTCAAAACAGTACCTGTTCTTTTTTATACGGATTTGGTTGCATATGTACATAACTACCACCATACCGTAAATTTGTGGTTGTGGTAGTGCGACTGCTGACCATGAGGTCTCGGGTTCGAATCCCGGGTCGAGCCAAAAACAAAACGGCTATTGAGTTTTTCCACCAAGAAATTCTCAGTAGCTGCCCGGAGTCAGGAAGTTGGCAGTGTCTCACCCCGTGCCTCGGAAAGCAAGTAAAGCCAAATGTTCTACTCCTAATCTCTCTCCGGTCGTGTCGGTTCTCCGTCCCATTGGACTATGAGAGTGAGGAAATAGAGAGTGCACCTGTGCTTGCGCATACACTCGAGCACTATAATCGTGTCCTGAGCTGATGGCTCGTCTCCGTTGCTGGCCGCCGTAACCAAAATTCGGTGGACATTATTATTACCGTAATTTTGTTAATTATTATGATATAAAAAAGAGAAAAAGTTTAATAACACACACACAAACACTCACGCCTGTCACCCAGAGGTGTAGGCAGAGACTACGGACTTCCATTTGGCGCGATCCTGACACATCTCTCTCGCCTCCTTTACATCCATATATCTACGCATACACAATCGTCGGTTAAGGGTACTCCTAATCTGGCCCATTTTTAATGTATCGCCGATTTGGTCGATAAACCTTCGTCTAGCGCGTCCCTTCCCGACCCTGCCGTTCACTTCTACAACATAAATTTGCTTTGTCACTCTTTCCTCGTTCATTCTTTCTACATGACCAAAAGTTTAATAAAGCAATGTATAAGTCTTTGTTAAGTCTTTGAGATTTTAATGCAATCGGCAGGTATATCATCATTTTTACAGCTCTTCACAAGTCCACTGCTAAACATAAGCCTCCCCCAAGGAATGCCACAAAGTACGGTCTTGAGCCACCTGCATCCATCGACTTCCTGCATGTCTTACCAGGTCGTCACTTCAACTAGGTGGGGGCCGCCCCACACTTCGCCCACCGGTACGGGCTGCTACTCGAGAACCTCGCTTCCCCATCGGTTGTCGGTTCTTCAAGCTATATGGCCGGCCCATTGCCACTTCAGATTACTAAGCCATATAGTAAGTAGAGTGACCGACATAGCCCAACGGATTAGTAAGCTGAAGTGGCAATGGGCCGGTCATATAGCTCGTAGAACCGTCAACCGATGGGAAAGGAAGGTTGACTGATGGAGACACTAGATGGTATGACAACCTCGTAATGCATGCAGATATGCATCAGTCTCTTAATAGTACTACGTGACAGAGACACGCTGCAACTATATTAGTTGTAGCACGAATTTGTCGGCTCGACCGCAGTAAGACCACGCTGTCATAGACTACCAGCGTAAAATATCAGCTAAAGGTTGTTGTGTTTCGTATGGTGAGTGTAGAGAACTGGAGACCCTTTTTACTGGAAAGGACGATTTCCATCTTAGTCCTCAGGGGTGAGAACGCATCTGCATTTTGATTTTTAATTGAGGATAAACGTAGATGTATGGGCCACAGCATGCATTAACCATCAGGTGGACTTTGTAAAAAGCGGGTCCGCGTGGAATGGTGCCGTGACATGATCAATGAATTTGAATCAGACTCTTCTCGGCTTGTTTACTACATTATTACAGTTGATGAATTATGGATTTATAAAATATCAAATATCCTTAATTCGACGGTTGGCCGTTATTGGCCGATTTTGATCGCTGGTTTTTCATTTTGTCGGAGTATCCGATGTCAATTCCTTTACGAAATCGAAGAAGCATTTTACGCGGAAGGCGTAAACGAGATGCATATACTGTCAACATTTTATAAATGGGAAAATCCTTACTGTGCAATATTTTCGACCGACTTCAAAAATGGATGAGGTTCTGAATTCGACTGTAATTTTATGTGAGTTACGTTCAGAACTTTTTTCTAGGCGAATCGACTTTGATGCTTCTTTTTTTATTTGAAAGCTGGTGCTTCTCATGTAGTCCTTTGATCAAGATGGGACCAGTAGTTTTTGAGTTGTGCGTATTTAATTGACTTCGATTACATCGACGATGTTCATTTTATTTATATAGAACGACGGTTGTGCAAATTTTTTAATTTTACCACTTGTGTATATTCTAACTTTACTCACTGATCTTGCCAAATATCCGAACATTTCATAATATGTGAATGATGACGACATTAGGAACACGCTCTCACAGAATATCAGCGTATAATAGCAGCTTAACGCTGCTGTGTTTCGTATGGTGAGTGCAGAGAACCGGAGGCCCCTTATACTGGAAAAGAGACATTCCATCTTAGTCCTCACGGGTGATAACGCATCTGCATTTTGATTCGCATACGCGGATAATTGTAGATGTTTATGGGCCGTAGCAACCACTTACCATCAGGTGGACTGTGTGCTCATTTGTCACCCGTATCCTATAAAAAAAAATATATTTGTATGGCCTACAATTAATTGTTCCGGATCTGGATGTTTGTCCTTGTGCAATTTATTTTTGTAAGCTGCCCCCGCGAAACAGTATAAAATTTACGTTATCCTTTAAAAAAAGAATGAAAAAAAAACATAATATGATATAGTTACCTAATAATATAACATATGATTATATTATTTGACTAGCGATCCGCCCCATCTTCGTACGGGTGATTTTTGGATCTCGACGACAGTGCCACCTACCGGATCCAAATGTGAATCTAAACCGTCTAGGGACCCATACAAACCCAAAATTTTCAATCGATATTGATATCGATACCCATCACGTCCGCGAAGTTTCACTAGCTAATTCAATTTGACCCTGTATAAGTACATACTTTAAAATAGTAAATGATAATAAAATTTAGGTACTTTGTTGTTTATATTTTACTTTCCTACTTTATCACTGTTTGAATAACAGGTAACTCACGATCTATCTAAAAAGTAAACGCCGTACAATGTTTATTATAGAGAACTATGAATAATTGTATTAGAATAAAAGATGAAAGTATTCTTGGACGTTATTATTATAGTCACTGAATTCATGACCATAATTACTTACATGCACCAATTAACGTTAACGAAGTCGCTCCAACACCGACGCGCGGTCCATCCTCGACGATGTCCGAAAACGGACTGCACAGTAGGCTTGGGCAAAAAATATCTATATTTTTAAATAAAAATATCGATATATATCGTCGACATTTTAAATCCCGATATATCGACATATCGATATTTATTTTAGAGTATCGAATTTGTATCAATTTGGATATATTTTAAAATATTGTATCGTTTTTTTAGACCTTATCTTTACATCATTCAATGGATGACGATATATCGATATTTATCACACGATATATATCGATACTGTTTAAAAATATAGATTCGATATACCTATATCGATATATTTTTTCCCTTTGCCCATCCCTACTGCACAGAGTACATTATATTGACGGACTGCGACAGAACTCGCGGGGGATTACAAGGCGACGGAGCAGGCACGCTTTTTTTTAGTGTAAAAACTATTTAAAAAGCTTGTGCCGTTTTGGAGAAATTTTCGTTGGGAATTTTTTTTCTAGTAAGGGGTTGAGAATAATACAATTTTATTAATTTAAAGACATTTATAAAATCCTTTTCTGTCACCGTGTATTTTTTCTTTGCAGATTAAGTGAACAGTTATTGTGATTTTTTAACTTAAATATCCAAGAATTTAGGCATTTCTCACCCGCTCTTAGGACCTTAAGGTTGATTATAAATAATGCCCTATTAATCACTTGGTCCATAACTACTTATATATCTATGAAGGTTCTAAACTGGGTTATAGTTGCCGGCGTCTAACTTGGCAAGATTCGTTAGATGAGCAGAAGTCGTTTTTTAGATCTCTTTGGTTATCAAGCGAGGTAGCATCGTTCTGAGCGCGCGATTGGTTGGCCCTGAGACGTGGTCCTTCACTGCTGGCCGGATGAGGAAGCTCAAGGTCGCTCAGCGAGCTATGGAGAGGGTTATGCTCGGAGTTTATCTGCGTGATAAACTTAGAAATGAGGATATCCGCAATAGAACCAGAGTGACCGACATAGCCCAACAGATTAGTAAGCTGAAGTGGCAATGGGCCGGCCATATAGCTCGAAGAACCGACAACCGATGGGGAAAAAGGTTCTCGAGTGGCAGCCTCGTACCGGCAGGCGAAGTGTAGGGCATCATCCCACTAGATGGGGTGACGACCTGGTAAGATATGCAGGAAGTCGATGGATGCAGGTGACTCAGGACCGTGCTTTGTGGCATTCCTTGGGGGAGGCCTATGTTCAGCAGTGGACTTGTGAAGGGCTGTAATGGTGATGATTGGTTGGCCCGTCGACTTCCGAGCGCGCCATTGGTTGACCAGTCGACCCATGACTCCCGCAACGTGTCCATGTCCCGTCGTACATGCGCAAACTTTCCTCCACTACGCCAAAACCTTGCCAAGTTAGTTGCTGTATACTATAGTATATAGTATACGAATAAGGTATACCTTATTCGTAAACTTTATAATAATAATACGTAATTTACATTTTGATAAAAGTACAAACCGACTTCAAGAGATAACAACTAGTGTTAAATATTGTGAATTAATGTACGGGTATCCAGTCCGATTAAAAAGTGAAAAAAGAAATTTGACATTATCTATGAAACGCATGAAGAATCTATGGCGTGAAAACATTTTTGGTGTAATTTCCGATTTCCGTGCTCTTCTATTAAAGAAACAAGACGAGCCGCCGGTGTTTTATTTTGGTGTCAAGATCCGATGGATTAAAGGGCCAT